CACTCTGCCCTAAAGCCCCGACTGGTGGAGGGCTGCAGTGATGGTTGACTTTCTTTGACTTTCTACAACTTTCTCCCATCTCCCGACTGCATCTCTGGAGCTCAGCCACAGTCATCTTTGGGTTCTTCTGTACCTCTCTCACCAAGGCTCTTCTCCCCCGATAGCTCAGTTTGGCCGGACGGCCAGCTCTAGGAAGGGTTCTGGTCGTCCCAAACGTCTTCCATTTAAGGATTATGGAGGCCACTGTGCTCTTAGGAACCTTAAGTGCAGCAGACATTTTTTTTGTAACCTTGGCCAGATCTGTGCCTTGCCACAATTCTGTCTGTGAGCTCTTCAGGCAGTTCCTTTGACTTCATGATTCTCATTTGCTCTGACATGCAGTGTGAGCTGTAGGGTCTTATATAGACAGGTGTGTGGCTTTTCCTAATCACGTCCAATCAGTATAATCAAACACAGCTGGACTCAAATGAAGGTGTAGAACCATCTCAGGGATGATCAGAAGAAATGGACAGCACCTAAGTTAAATATATGAGTGTCACAGCAAAGGGTCTGAATACTTATGACCATGTGATATTTCAGTTTTTCTTTTTTAATAAATTTGCAAAAATGTCAAACATTCTGTGTTTTTCTGTCAATATGGGGTGCTGTGTGTACATTAATGAGGAAAAAAATGAACTTAAATGATTTTAGCATATGCCTGCAATATAACAAAGAGTGAAAAATTTAAGGGGGTCTGAATACTTTCCGTACCCACTGTATGTTAAAAGATATACAGAGCGAAGAGAACTTTTGCAAGTTTAGTTTACTAAGTGAAACACTTTTATGGCACACATAATTTAACCAAGGGAAGTAAATGTCTAACTGCTCACAAATACGATCACGAGGTACTTAACCAAAAACCACGTAGTATATTAACTTACTTAGCATGAAGGAGCGGGTCGAAAGGCGGATGCTGTGCACCATACACATGTTGAATGCTGAGGAAGTGAAAAAGAGACAGTGTAAATAAATGATCTAGTTTAATTACTATATGGCTCTCGAGCCGGCCACATTACCTACCAGCTATCCAAAGCAATATCAGTTAACGCTGTAGTAGAGCAACTAAATGTGACAAAATAATACGTTCATTTGCAGCCAAACCATGACTACTCCGTAACATAAAATGGTTACTATATCACTGTTATTAGTTGCAACTCTGTAACTGCGTTGTGGGTACACTTCCCAAATGTTAGCCGCTTCTCTTAGCCAGCTAACAGTAGCAAGGTGCAAACCTTCTATGTGACACTAGGTTAATTCACCTCAGTTATTTATACGTGAAATGATAAAGTCTCAAACTTTGTGAAATAAAGTAGGACGGTCAGAGAAAGTGGAAGTTGCATTTGAAACTCAACAAGGCAGCGTCAGTTGAGTAAAGGCTAGCTACGCTAAACTAGCCATCAGGAGGGAACACGTCACTCACCTGCCAGGAACCTTTGCTGCATTTCGTTTCCAAAACTGTCTTTTGTTTCCGTCACTCGACATTTTCCCTCTTAAGTCCAACCAGTCCTACACACAAACAACAGAACGCTGTCGTTATTTGTACAATGTGTAATTTGTGTTTATTTACACCAAGTCCCCACCTCCAAAACTCAGAAAGCTGCCATGTTGCTTCAGCCTATTTCGCCGAACAAACGCTGCTGTTATTGGCTGGAACGAAACTTCCTCAACGTGAGCCAATCACAAGTGAGATTTGCTGTTACGTGCCTTGACAGGCTTCTGATGTCGTGGCCCACAGTTTCTGTCGTGTTGACAAAAACTATAAACTGTGTGTCAGGCAAAGGAGAGACCACCAGCATCAGGGCCAGAGACAGGGAGACAGGAGAACATCTACCATGCACCCATTTTCTTTTCCATAATAGTTTATAGTTAAAAAAAGTATAATTTGGCAATGTTTACCATTATTTTGAATTGCTAACATTATTTTTCAGATAACCTTTAAAATTTGTGTGGTTATTGTATCTAAAATAATGTTTTTCTGAATGAGTTGATGGTTACTGGTTACAGGTTTGCAATACAACAATATGCCACTTTCCAACAAGCATCAGCAAGGCATTTAATCAATTCACACTTACTATAATGGTGTACAAAGCCTTAAGACAGGTGACTGAAAAAGTACATAATTAATAACCAAGGATATAAGACTACAGAACAGCAGAATGCAATTTACAATGTAGCAGTAACTTTACACCGTATGCCTACGTACTCTAACTTATTTTAATAAGACCCTTTATGTTTTTCTCTCTACAGTGGTGCATCTTTCCACACACCACTCACTACTAACCTCCAATGGAAAGTGACTTTAAAGTATCTTTTCGCCACAAATGTTACTTTTTGTTGAGTAATACTGTAAGTGTAATGCTTTATGATGCAACACATTATTTTCCTGTTTGAGAAACCTGTATATGAATGAAATGTTATCAAAATACACAAAGAGAAATATAAATAGCCTACTGTTGACTGACTTTCACAGAGACAGATGTGATCAAGCAAGTTATCTTTAGTATTACAATATTTGCATCATCTTGATATCAGCCACGTTTCTTTTCAGTTTTTTAAGCTAAAATCAGATTAATTCAAGGGCAAACCAGTTAAACACAATTTAGTCATCATTTTTGCAAATGCCTCATAATAATCATTGTCTGAAGGTTCTGGTAGATTTAGGTAATTATTCACCTTTTCAAGCAGCTGAATGCTTTGAGACACGAATTAGAGCGCTTAGGTGCTTACGCAATGTGCTGATGCACTGTTTATGCCACAAGATTGAAGCACACAGGGTAAAAAGAAAGAGGTCTCACTCTGTCAGTATTTCCCTGTACTGCAAACGTCGTGTCTACTGTTAAGGTATTATTTATGGTAAACCTTAAAGCCCGACATACTGCAGTTAAAAAAAACATACATGCAAACAGACAATACACAAACACATAGATATATGTTTTAATTATGTTTCAGATATTGTTCTAAATATCAGCTGTTAACATAGTCCATTGGATTGTGTTTTCTGTATTTACAGCTCATTTCTGTATTTGGTTGCACTGCCTCATTTTGCAGCATTTTGGATATACAAATGCTGCACGTACTGTTAAACTGGTGAATATGTTTTCTGAATTTACTTGTGTTTTGTTTATTTGCATGTGTTTTTAGGTTGCAGTGTGCCAAACTCTCAGGGTCACCACATATTAAAGAAAAAGTTGCAAAAATTGCCCCACTCCTATGGATTTTTTTCATGAAATATCTGAGATTACTTTATTGCAATTCATGAGATAGGTGAGTTTCAGGACTGAATGTAGCAGTATCAAGGAGGGTCCCAGCTCCAAAGCAGCTACAAGAAATTTGGTATATAATTTAATAACAAAAAAATATGAATTTGATATAATAAAACACATTACAAAGTGCAGTTTATTTAAAGTCTCATAATTTATTGTATTTTATTTACTTAAACACAGTTATGACACCACCACGTTTTTATTTTCAGTAACAATATTATATTGACAATAGACCTAAGACGTAAACTTGAATAAATTGCAATAAATAATTTCAGTACTTTATTTTCACGGTTTTTAAAGTGTTTCATGTACAGCTTACGTTGAAATATAGTGTGTGCTCCATAAATGGCAATGCAATATAATTTCCATTGTATGCCTTTTATATGACAGCACAGAATGGGAATGAGGCCAATTTCATTTTGACGATTGAGTGATTCACCTTTTGTATGCACGATCTTTGCTTTAGTCCCCTGACAGCTCGGGCCGACCAGCATGTTGACTGTACTCATTATAGCTGAGCTGCTAAACACGCTTTGATATGTGGGCTGTAACAAAGTTGTGATGACCATCGGACGACCGTGTAACTAATGGCACGTCTCAGCGATATTATAGAAAAACAAGCCACATTACTATCATCGAAGCTTTTTCAGAAGCATAGACAGGTAGAAGTTGTTCTAAACCACAGTGTTTTGGAATGGAAGGAACTCGAGAATTGCAGAAAACGACGCTC